CGCTTCCAAGCACCGCCCTCTACCAAGTGCGCCGCCCTCTACCAAGTGCGCCACCGGGCAGGCCCCCCTACTGTCTTTTAATTCCATTTATCCATGAACTTTCTGAAGTGCCCTCACACTTTGCTTTTTTAGTATATACATACGTAAACAGAGAGAATACTAAATAATTTTCTGTATCTATTATACTTTAATAACAATTTTTAAAAATGAAAAGAAAGCTTGGAATGTAAATCTACTTCCACCACATCCAGGGATGTGGCCACCATGCCACACACCATGCCTTCTAACACGAAGGTGGTCCTTTGTGGTCCTCAAAGGGAAAGAGAACCCCCCCATGAAAAAGAGAGCAGGCTTGTTTGTCAGGTGCCGTAGGGTGGAGGAGGCAGCACTCACAGGCCATCTTACCTGCTCCTCTCCCCACCGCAGTCGACATCCACCACGTTCCACATCACGCAGGAGTCATCGGAGATCACGATGAAGGGCCAGATGTCCTGTGGCTTGATCCCAAGCTCCTCCTGCCGGTTCCGCTCCAGCTCCAGGTTATGGTAGGACAGCTCCTTGATGAGGAAGTGGGCAGCGCCTAAAATGTGCAAAACGACCCGACTCAGGCATGTCCTGCACCCCCATTCACAGGACTGAACCCTCAGTTATACCTGCTTGCCAAGGTCCCACCCCAGACAAGCCAGCCTGACTGTCACAGTACGCATCTCCCTCCACTGACCACTCCCAATTTGAGGGAGGGAAAATTACAGGGAGGAAAACACTCCTCTCCAATTTTACCCCCGTTTGTCTTTCTTATCCTTTCTTTTCTAACAATTGAGAACATGAATTAAATAACCAAACACTGCCAAAAAAAAATTCAAATAGCTTTAAAAGTCCAAAAGCAAAAAGCCTCATGTAAAACACTAAACTCTTTCATCTCTAGAATATACTCTCAAGTCTTCATTCACTGAAACTTTACTGAGTAGAACATGTTCAAAAACACCCACCAACTCCAGCACTGTTGAAGATACTCGGAAGCACCAGCATGATGTGGTTGGGCCAGTATTTCTTATAAATAGCCATTTCATACTCCTTGACAACCAGCACATGCAGGTGGCTGGCACCATCCATCGCATGGTACAGATTAAAGAGTCCGTGCTCGTGACGGCCAGTTGTTGGTGTGAATGTCGGACTCTTTATATATTCATGGCTCTGCAAAGTGTAGGTATAATGGGGTAAGTGTCCATAAACATGGCTGTAATTTTCCTCCTCCCTTGAAACGTGACTTGGCAGCATCTTCTGTCAAAAGGTAGAGTCTATTTCCACACTCCTTGAATCTGAAGCAGCCTGTGACTTGCTTTTACCAATAAAATGCAGAAACAATGATGCTGTCAGCTCTGAGCCTCGCCTCAAGAGACCCACACGTTCTACTCTCTTGGCACACTCACATGAGCCAGCCTGGGCTAGCCTGCTGGAGGCTGAGACACCACATGGAGCAGAGACGAGCATCACAGCTGAGGCCACTCTAGGCCAGCCACTGTGACAGCTAACTGCAGACACACGAGTGAACACAACAGAGCCCAGAACAACCAACCAGCTGAACCCAGCTCAAACCATAGCCCACAGAATCAGAAGCTAAATAAAGGCTTGTTTGGGATTGGCTTGTTATGCAACAGAAACTGATTGGCATATATCAATCAACCAAATTATTACCCTCTCATATTAGAATCTAATAGGGGTTGCTCAGGAGTATACATCATTCCTGTATGTCTGAAATCCTCCCATACACTATGAACGTATGACATCCCCCAATCACACAGTCCAGCTATTTACACACTCAGGTTGTGATATCTTTTACGTATCTATGTTTTCTTCAACTCCTTCCTCAACAATAAGTGCACCTGGCCAAGCTAAGGCTTCTGCTCTTTCTGAGTTCCTCAAAGGACCTGCTCAGAGCTGTGCGTGCAGCTGCTGTTCATGGCCAGCTCTCAAGGGAAGGCTGGAAAAGTGGGTGGAGTAAAAGGCAAATCCTCTTATGTTACATCCTGGTGGTTTCACTGCACCAGCCCCCAGAGCATGAGACACCTTATAACAAAGGCCTCTTTGGTACTTCACAAATGCTGTCATTGCTTAATAACTGCTGGATCTGAAAGGCCAGGTTTGGCCCTACAGATGTCTGGCACTCTGGAGAAGGAGAAACAGCATCTACACATGGTTTGTGTTGACCCGGGCTGGTGAAGAGCAGCCAGTTGACTGTCAGATTGTCAGGCTGGAACTGTCAAGCCAAGGGCCCTCCAAGGAGCACCTCTTTTAAGAACAATCTCTTTAAAATATAAAGGACATTTATCTTATGGGTGAAATACTTAAGGTGCTCCTTGGACTTGAGGATGATGAAATGGAGCTGGATTTCCTCTCCTAGCATGGAGTAAAATATTTACAGATGAAATGAGATGATGTCTAGGGTTTACTTCCAAATGACACAGGAAGGGAGAAGAGAAGAGGACAGATGAAACAAGGCTGGCCGTGAGTTAACAATCATAGTAGGCTGGTAATGGGCCCTAAGGGATTCTTTGTACTATCCTATCTGCCTCAGCCTATTCGAAACATCCCATAAGAAGGAGCATTAAAGAAAAGATGGGGAAGGGGATGAACACCTATTCAGCACCTGTTATCTACCAGGCACTGTGCTGGTGCCTTATGTTGGTTATTCCAAATAATTCTCACAACAAGCTCTTGCAAGAGTTATTTTTGCCCAACTCTACTATTGAGGAAACTGAGGCTCAGAGATATTAAGTGACAAATAATATGCTTGATAATTGGTAGAGCCAGGCCCAAACTTGAAGCTGAGTGACTCCAAAGCCCACATCCTAGCCCAGCCTCCTCCAAGTTCAGCCACCAGATCGGCCCCTCTCTGCTCCACATACTCTCAACTCACCCGGCAGCTCCTGTCCCTAGGCCCCAGCTCAGTAGTGGCTCGAAGTCACTTTGGTTTGCCCTGCTAGGACTTGAGCCAGTACCTTGTCTGTGACGAGGGGCAGCCGCATGCTCTCCAGCTGGCCTCCGGGTTGGCTGAAGACAAAGTGGTGCTCCTTGGACTTGGGGATGATGAAGTGGAGCTGGACCTCCTCTCCTAGCATGGAGTAAGAGAAGGCAAAGGCGTGCAGGGTGGACTCATAGAGCTGGGGTGTGAGGGAAAGGACAGAGCTCGTCATCAGAGGTGGGCTTACTTCCCAGAAGAACACAGGCCCGTCCTGGCCACGACGAAACACAGGTCACAGCCGCCTCTGCCCACAGCACGAGAAGCCCCAGATGACACTGGTACAAGACAACACCCAGGCCTCGCTATGGGTGAGCATGCAGAGGCATCCACCCATGGCTGGAGCCTGCTCATCCTACATGCTAGACACCTCCCCAGCCAGGCCACCTCGGGCACCAGACCCTTCCAGACTCCGATCTGACCCAGAGCTGCTCTGGGTTACTAACTTAAGCATTCATGCTCTAGAGCTCGTATTTAATTCTAATAAACATATGTTTCCATCAGAGGTACTATGTGCACTAGCATACTAATCTAACTGATGTGCTCGTACACGTCTGTAATGCTATGTGCCATGCACCATTCTGTCCCCTTTGCATCGTGATCAACAATCCTAGGAAGCGGGTACTGTCACCATCCCCATTTTACAGATGTGGAAACTGACATTCAGAGGTCTGGGGCCCACACCTGTTCCCAAGTCTAGCCTCCCCCTTAGTCATCTCCAGACACTCCACACCCCCGTATCTGTGCCTGTCTCTAGTATGACCCCCTGCTGGGCTTCTCCCTCAGCTCGGGCACCCTCTCAGGGGCTCTCTGTGACCCTCAGCCCTCTCTGACAGTCCCCCCTAGCGTGTGCTAGTGGGATCGGGCAGCAGGCAGACCAGCACACACAGGCTTAACCTCCTGCCATGGCTCTAATAGCCACAAAGCCCTTTGGGAGCAGAAATGAGGGAGAAAGAGATTCTGACTCAGGGGGAAGAGAAGAGGACACAACTGAGGAAATTTCATAGAAAGGCCAGAGGGGCCTTGGGAGGTGGAGGAGAGAGGACAGAATGAGCAGAGGCGCTGAGGCCTGGGGATGTCTGCCCTTGGCATTCCTCGCTGGCTGCTCCCAGGTGCCCTCACCATCCCAGGCATGCTCCTCTCCAACTACAGCCTCAGATCTGAGCGCCCCCTGCACACAGGCTGGCAAGGTCCAGCCAGCACAGCACAGGACCGCTCCCCCTACCCCTTAATGTGGCCTGAGGGCAGGACAGATTTTTTATCTTAAGCTCATGCTCCTCTCCAACTACAGCCTCAGATCTGAGCGCCCCCTGCACACAGGCTGGCAAGGTCCAGCCAACACAGCCCAGGACCGCTCCCCCTACCCCTTAATGTGGCCTGAGGGCAGGACAGATTTTTTATCTTAAGCAGCAATTCACTGCTGACGCTTACTGAAATGACTAGTGACTAAAACCCTCAAATCTTTTTAGTTCTTCAAATTTCAAAATCAAAAAAACATTTTTCATATATCTTTTTCTGCCTTGAAAGAAAAACGTCCCGAAGAAAAAAATTGTCAGGAGAGCTTATTTAGAGCAAATGCAATTACTGATTATTTTGATTCTTTAAAAAGTTGCTCATATGTATTTTCTAATTTCATCTACAATAACGTTGCATACTTAAAGAAACTGGGGCTAAAAGAAGACAGATGCTGGTACATTGGCAGCTAAGCTCCAGATAGGACACCTAGGAGGATGAACGCTGCTGGCTGCTGCTTCCCACTGCAAAAGGGATGGCAAAAGCAGGCCAGCCCTTGCCCCTGGCCTTTCTAGAGGCAGCCAAGGACACCTGCCATCCTGCCACCTCTGCTGCTGGGCCAGGTGTCTGACTGACCCCCACCAGCTCCAGCTCTTTCCTTCCTCCCCTGCTTCCCTTGCTTGGGTCTGGTAGGAAAAGAAGTGCTACAGGTAAAATACTCTCATCTGTTTAGAAATAATCAGCCTCACGGGCCCTCCGTAAAGCTCCATATGGCTATTAAGATTCAAGTCAAGAGGAGGGAGGGAGGTTTTGGTCACTGGCCACAATAATCAACCACATTGTATATTGACATTAAAAAATTTAAAAAAAAAAAAAGATTCAAGTCAAAAGTGCAACTTTGCCTATGTGGGCCCTACTTAGAGTTCTCACTGACACATCCACATTCCCTGCACAGCGCCCAAGACCTGTGCTCTGGTCTCTGTCCCCCCATCCCCGCCCCCAGCGTCCTCTCCTGAGCCTGCCCACCCCATGCACTCTGTGCTCCAGCAATACCCAGCTAAGACCACTCCTCAGCTCCAGAGACCCCAGAGACCCCAGGGCTCCCGTCTTCACACACGCTGTTCCCTCCCCTTGCATCTGCCTCAGCCCCTCAGCAAATTCTCACTGATTCTTCAAAATCCTCTCCTCTGCTCCCCACCCAAAATAGTATCTTCATTTATAAAATGGGGATAATGGGGTTTTAGTGAGAACTAAATGAGAAACTAAACAGCACCATTTCCTAACCCATGTACCCTGAATGGATTACAGCTGTGGCTGGAACACAACCCCTTCAGGTGTCCTGCCAGGGCCCAAGACGGCCAGAGCCCCAGTCAGAAGCCTTTTCCATTTATCTGTATCCAGGGCTAATAATTTCTACGATGTAGAAAGGTTGATGCATAAACAGTGCCTAGCATGGTGCCCGCCATGTGGCAGGTGCTCAGAAAATGCAATTTTCTCTCCTTATCCATATAATTTCTGTGCCTCAACCACATTGCTCTTCTTGCCTCCTTCACATTGTTCTGACATTGTGCTTACATGCACATCTCCCTCCTACACTGTGAGACCTTAGGATGTGGACAAAGTTTATTCCTGTCCCCAGTGCCTGGCACATAATAAGCAGCA